TACGTAATCTGACGCTTCTTTTGAACACGATGTAAGAAAGGGAAATGATCAGTGGCGTAACAATGATGGGTGCGGAAGCGCGGTCCGCCCCGAGCGGCACTTTATTATACGCTTTTTCTTGGGCTGCTTTTTCCCCAGTGTGGTCGAATCTTGCATTTCAGTTTTGATACACTTCCTGAATTTCAAACTGAACTAAATCTGTGTACTCTTTTCCAGTCCCGGTGACAACCCTTTATGATCAGAAGGTCACCAGCGACCTCCAATTACTCTTGGGTAGCCTCTACAGGTCAAATCTCGCATCTTAGTTTTACCCACTTACGGTTCTCCAATTGAGCTCTGTTATTAGAGAGGACGCACCTCTTCCCGTATTTTACACGCGCAACTTGGTAACGTTGCCGCACCTTGTCTATAACTTGTATTCCTGAGTGCGTACGTGATCAAGCGCATGACCGGGAAAACGACGTACCTGAGCGCGGCATGGTCAGCAATGGGAGCAGACGAACAAGAAAAGTTCACTCCTAAATTTATTCTAGGAGTAGTGTTTTATTTTTTACTGTGTTGTTTGTTTGTTTTTTTAAGTTTTTTTGTTTTTTAAGTTTTCTGCAAACGCCTAAGACACATTTATTCTATAAGCTATTTTTTTTTTAAATTAGTGGTTAGATAAAACAATTGGAGTAGCCTATGAGCTACAATAAATAATTAAGCAATCAAACAAATTATATCTCACCTGTTTGCTTGAGATCAAAACACAAAATCTGATATGCAGGAAAGTCTGTCATCAACTATAAGTCATGTAACTTTCATAAAGGTTTTTCTTTTTTTTTTTTTAAAGATAAGTGTTTCTTGGAATTCTTACAACTTCCTCCATGATATAACTTTTTAGTTGTGTGGGGCGGAGGGGGGGGCGCTAAAGAGGTTATTTTCTATATATAGGAATATCTGTCAGCAGACGACTGTACCAACAGCCCTTCTATGAAACAGAGGGTGTACATTTCAAGGGCTCTTACAGAGTTCTGGGAACTTACGTTGTAAACTAATCACAAGTTACCAACGAAAGCAATAAAATATAATAAAAATTTTGATCTCATTTCAACCCCTGTAAAAAAAAAATTAACAACTCCCTAGAAAACTCAAATTAGAATTTTCTGATCATTTTGAAGAGAGAGATACCTAATGATTTCAACAGATATGTCTGCCTTGTTATCTCCCTCTGACAAGCACCTGCGTAGGTCCCATTTTGTAAGCCTCGGCCCTGGTCCCAATATAAAGTTTCTTCAGGTTTTCAAACACGTGCATCACAGCATTTTGAGCTGCTCACACAAAAAATATTCTGGGTAGGGGGCCTCAACCTCCTCCACAATGCCCACCCCTACGTTTGTTAGAGTGACTTCAGCGGGGGGGGGGTCCTCTATTTCTGCTCGCCCGCCACACTCAAAGTGGCAAATGTCGGGCACATTTTTATTCGCAACAATGTACTGTATATAATTAACATCAGTCATCTACTTTGAAAAGTGACCTTAATTTGACATGCGTTGTGAAATTGTTATTGTATACATTATACTTTACGTCATGTCATTTACTTTTGCAATACGGTATTTTAAGATTTTGAGATGTAAAGTACTGATCTGAGACTATATGGTTACAGTAGTGGGAATTCCAGTGTAACTAGGTCTGCCCTGTATTATCATACAAAACGTAACTCAACATTCGTTAAACTTTTGCTCAACATGGGTCAAATCTAAAATTAGCCGATAAATAATAATAGCGGATAAACGAGACATTTAAATATCGACCAATAAGGAAGCATGTTTCAATGAAATGTATGGTTTAGTGGAACAAACATTCATTCAAGGATTATGTCTGGAAATTTTAGTGAACCATACTCATAAACCACACATAGGCTAAGCTTTCGATAGATACCAAATATGTCTAGGTAGCAATGTAATGATATTATAAAAGCAAGGGGCACTCAACGGTCTATTTTGCTTGAATTTTGGACCCCCCGCCCCCCCCCCCCCCCCCCCCCCCCCCTTCACCATGTTCTGTTACCATACGACTTTAAAAAAAATTTGTAACAGGTTTAAATCACTTTTTAATTAAAATGGTAAAATCCAAAATGTTCATTAAATGTGTATTCGTCAATATTCACGATTATCTCATTTTTATCAAAAGAATGCACATAGTGTTACTTTCCCCCATCATTTTTTTTGTGTGTATGCAGAATGTATGCGTGAACGAATTTCAAATTATCTAAATCTTTCGGCTTCGACCGAAAGTCTCGATGAGCTTTCGGTTTCGGTTTCCCCCCGAAAGTCATTTTTGACTTTTGGCGTGGTTTCGGTTAAGGCCGAAATCGGAAAATCACTTTCGGTCGATCTCTACCTGTCACGAATGAGATTTTCAAAAAAACCTCGTTTCGCTTCTTGGAGGGACAAGAGCCTTAGGGGCATGTTCATTCGAAGCCACCTCCCTGCTATTAAAGAATATATAGGCACCAAAAGCTGCAACCGTAGCCGCCGTAACACATGTCCTACGTGATAGAAGTTGGGGAAGTTTCTTTCCTTATGGAAATCTTCAGAAGGAAAGATGGCTTTACCTGCGCAAGTCGCAAGGTGATTTACACCACCCTTTGTCAAAAGTGCGGTAAATTATATGTTGGAGAGACGTGTCGTTGCCTCGGAGACCGTTTTAAAGAACACCTATGTAACATAAATAAACAAGCCCTTTGACCAGTTTCCAAACAATTGAAAAGTACTAACCATAATGGAATTTTAGACATCGCAGTTACTGGTATATTGTATGAAGTTAATACACCGGATAGGATGTATATGGAAAATAAATTAATAAAAAGATTTGATACGTTGACAACATACTGTGTAAACCAAATCCATAATTTTTAAACAGCTGCCATGTCCGTTAGGTAGGATAGCATACATGTGTGTGTGTGTATATTTATGTATATATTATGTGTGTGTGTGTATATATATGTATATATATATATATATATATATATATATATATATATATATATATATATATATATTAGTTCAATGCAACTTTTATTTACATGAATTTTTGTTTAATGTTGTACTGACGAAAGCATTTGCCGAAATGTGTAATATTTGTATTTTATAAAGTCATTATTAAAGCTCAACATATAGTATAGTTTTGTTTACACAAATTGTTTGTGTCCATTTCATCTACTTTAAAGCTTTATCGCAGTCCAATACTCTATACTCAATAGGCCTACATACTATATCGAGAACTCCAATAACAAGCAATTAAGAGAAGGAAAAAGGGTAATTTTGATTAGTGTACCATGGATATTGTATGTTTCACAGTGGAGGACGGACGCAAATATAATTTTTTTTTTTAATCGTGTATCATCCGAGGAAAGGGTAGCTGAAATAAGCGATCCTCAACTCATTGTACAGATGCATAGACAGGCGAATGTCGGTCGTGAAGTCACACAACGACGGCTCGGTCAGAAGGATTTCGATGACGAACATCCGACAATGATACCTTTAGTTACGACGCTATCCCACAACCAAGTTCTCACCAACGACAGAGTCTAAATCTTACCCTGCCATCAACAATAAAAGTGGCACGGACTCTCTTTACAACTCAGTCAATAAACTCATTTCACGCCGAGGCTGAAATTTGAATCTAGACAACTGCCACACAAAATACGACCGTTCCACAAAATACATCGTATCATAATACACCTTCCCGTACATAATAACGCACTTTAGAGCTGACAGTTCAACCATGAACTGGTTATTCGAACGCAAAATTCGAAGTCGTGCATTCAACTCTGTCTTCCTACGCGGGACCGGTGATAATGATCTGCTATAGAATTCCTGGACGGTTGTAAAAACACTTCATATAATATATTGAGCTGAAGTAGACTGAAGCGTTTCGAGCCTCCCATTGGCAATGCACAACGAAGGTGGATCGAGCGGTGATAATACAACACCACCGGGACAGAATAGACGTCGAGGGAAGAAGGCGTTGTCGCGATGGACGCCACAGACGATGTGTCACCTTTTTATCTCATAATTAGAAGACCTGTCTTAAATTCACTGCCGTGGCACGCAACAGAGGCAACATATTATTGTAAACTTTCAAATAATTTATTATTAGGAGGGTCTAGTCTCAATGGTAAATGAGTAAATGAATACTATCTAAGATAAGTGCATACTTTAATGTGTAGCATAAATACTTTCAAGGATAAACGAATACTCAGGTTGAACTATGCTGACCCCTAACCCCCCCCCCCGACTGTAATATTTGTTTCTATGACGCAATAAAATCGACAAAATGACATCCATTGATTGTATTGTCCTCACATTTTAAGCAGCCATTTTGTAACAAGAAATAACGCCAGGTATTAATATCCGTAATTCCGTTAAAGAAATTGGCCCTGACCCTGATTCAGGATCTTATTTCCATTCATACAATACAAAAATGGTGGCCAACACAAAAAGCTTCACGGGCCACTTTGGTAGCGAGTGAATCAGTTCGTTGTCCGCAGGCCATTACACATTTTATTAATTAAAATATGAAAATAGACACCCGCTACGTGTCTAGAATTATGTATCTATTCTTAATGCACATTATCAAAATACTGAATAACAAAACAGAATTTAACTATTAATTTATCTTATCTCTCACTAATTTTTTTTTAAAGAAATCGATCCTTGCCGGGGAGTGGGGGATGGTGGTGAGTTATGGGCAGAGGCTTAACCAAAAAGGGGGCGTTCACAAATCACGGCTCAGGATAGGGGGGGGGGGGGGAATGAAAAAAGTTTATTTTGTGATCAATCCGCGGGCCGCAATATTTGACGTGGTTGGCCGCGGGCGGCCCACCCCCTGCAACACAACCCAAGGCCGCACGACAGTCTCGCCCCGCTTACACACCCACAGACCACAGTTTGACACCTATTGTCATGTGACTTCATCGAGCGCGGATTGCACAAATAAATCCAAACCATTGTTGGCGTACCTGGGTTCGCGACGCGGGGTCCTGAATCAAGGGTCCAAAAAAAAAAATGAAAAATGAACACGCGAGATCACGGTGCCACAACACGGACGTGGTGGTTTTTATTTCCTCAAGTTATTTTTATGGCTGGATCGACTGCCGAGACCTGGTCGATTAGAACTAAACAACGGCGTCCATATTGGGCATTGTGTCTGCGCGTCTTAGGACGAGGGAAAGAGGTTATCAGTGTTGCTCATGAAGGGATTCTATTCCATGTTGGTTTCAGGAGACAATATAAAGGTAAGGTAATGGTGTAAGAATGTCAACCTATCAGTTCATCGGTGTTTGTATATCTCAGAAATGTATTACGTAATGACAGATAAAGGAGGTAGATTTAGTGTTAAATCATTAGTTAGATTTGAAACATATAAAAGATGGCACCTGTTTTCAACATGTTCATATGAACATATATGTGGTTATGTACTTACTTCGTTGTGCTATGGATGACTTTGAGGTTTTGAATTTATTCTTCACTCCAACCCAAACGACCCCCTCAATCCAACCCAAACGACCCCCTCATTTTCACAAGTCTAACGAACCCTCCCCCTCCCAATACCCCCTACCGACCGTACAAGCTTACCACACTTACCACACCCCAACACCATTTATCCCCATCCCAACTCCAACCATCCCCGGCTCAACACCACGGACACCCTTTCTAGCACAACCAACTCGCCTATTCGAGGGAGGCTATTCTACCCCCTTTCTCCCTACTCCGACCTGTACCTTGACTTATCCGCAATGTGTAACTCACAGCTATTTAAGCTATTGATTCAGGTCACGGGTCATTGATTAGACGGGCGACTGATTCCTTCAATAACCATGAGTCTAGTTTTATTTAAAGGAGACCATACCCTGGTGACAAACTCCACTACGACTTGTAGGTCTTTGTAAAAATTTGGCTTAAAAAATAAATAATAAATAAAAACCTACTAGGGGAGATTATAAGTACAAGTATATTCCTTACAATTAGTCAACTGTAAACAATATAATAAAAAAATATGATAAAAAAGTTTACTTTAACTATATCAATACCCCCACCCACCCTCAGCCACGCTCATCGTACATTTTCTTTGCAGACTTAGTCCCAGCATGTGAAGTTAATTTTTGTATGTAACCGTAGCCAACTTATATACTGGTAGAAAGGGAAAAGGCTGCAATCAGATTAGCAAAAAGGTAAATGAGTAAGACAAAGTATGGTCAAACCTGAAAAAAAGGAACGAAACAAAACAACTAACGGGTCGGCAGGAAGCCTTCGTCAGCGAACAAATAACAGAAAAAAAGAAAAAAAAACAGAAATACATTTTTAAAAGCACTTTAGCTGAGATTGTGCCATCTCGGATAGTAACTTTCTTTTTTTTAAAGCCTAGGAGACTACAGCAATACGACGAGCCTTAAAACAAACTACGGTGCCGGTGGTATTTTCGTTTGTTTGGTTTATTTATTTTTAAAAATAAAAAATGTGGGTGTTGTATGTCAACATTTACCTCAAAATTTTGTGTTATCACAATAGGCAATCGGGTAATTGCAACATTGATTGGCCTTTGCGGTTTCAAATCTCGATCTCAATGAGACTTCCTGATTTTTTTCTTTCTTCTTTTAGAGGGTGCGTTCATTGTTAACACTTAAAACTGCCAATGCGTTGTCTGAGTTTAACCCTAAATTTGCTGATCGATTGGAGTTGGCCTCAATGGTGTAGTGGTTTCCAAGTTTCGGATGTTTTCATTGTTTAAATTTTAAAAAAAAAAAAAAAAAAAAATTCGTTCCTCCGCAATGCCTTTGAAGTTGTTTCTTTCTATCCAATTCACCTATATCGACTTATTTAGGGTAAATCTAGTAACTGCCGACAGTAGTTATGGTTATAAGGGTGATAGACTGCAATCAGGTTGGCAAAAAAAAGGAAATGAATGAAACAAAGTAATAGTCAAACCTGAAAAAAAGAACGCAACGAAACGACAAACGTGTCTGCAGGAAGCCTTCGTCAGCTAACAAACAACAGTAAAAACAGAACTAAATTTAAAAAATAACACTTAGCTGAAATGTAGCATCCGAGAGGGCAGTAAGAGAAATGTGGTAGCTCTCAATTCATGTGTCCAAATATGAATGCCTTATTACTGAGATTTTATAGACACTAAAGCTTGTTTAGTCTAACGGATCATTTTCCTCGCAAGAAAAAAACATTGACTCCATGTACGAAAAGATGTTTTGTACTTGTGGTAACTAAATACATGTTCTAGAATCCCACAGAGACTAGACACATTGCTAAATTTTCCAGGACTATGAAGAGCAAGTCAAAAAATCGTAAATTCCTGTGAAGTAAAATGATGAAAAACTTGTGCAAGGCTAGGAAATTTAGTAAATATATACGTGTATACCCCTTTATTTGTTAATCTTCTCGTGTGTTGGGTTTCAATATTGTTTTTAATTTTACAAATGCATGCGCGTTTTCATGCCAAAATAAAAATAAAAAATGTTTAAAGTTGTGTTGCAAAGCCATGAATTTTAGCTCAGATATGCCTATCAGACAAGCAAGTCTGTGCAGTTAGTGTCTTTTTGTGCTTGCCTAAGACATTTTCTCATCCATAAGAAAAAAAATCGGATGACTATATCTTGTACATTTATTTGTGCTAGCGTATATAAGCAGTTGATTGGATTTCCTGACCACAATTTGTATTTTGAGTGTAAACCAGCCCCCACCCCCTCACCCCACCTCCCACCCACACACACTATTAGACAAAACTACTCTTTGGAAGTTGAAACTACATTTTGGAGAGCTTAAAAATACTCTGATACTAACCCAGTAGTCAACATATCTGCTCTCTACAGAAAAAATAATAGGGAAAACTCGACATCAATCGAGTGTTTCAAGGCTGCCCTGGCACCCGCTAGGAACGGTTAGGATAGCAGCATCGTTTCCCCAAACCGTTGCACATATGCCAGTACATGGATGCAGCAACGTAGCCTATCAGAATCAGAATTTGTGGGACAAACCTTCCATGACGTTTATTGAGACACGGTCTCAGCTTTAATTTTAAATTCAGTCAACCAGATCTGAAGTATCGATTTTGAGAATTATTTGGTGCACAGGGTGGGGGGGGGAGATGGCGATTATAGTATGGATTGGTCGGTAGGCCATGGCCAATTGCTTCATCAGCATCAACGCAGCGCGCTTTAACCACTCATCTTAAGGCTGTAACAATACAATGACAGTTAAACCAACACATTACCCAGACTTAGAATTTGCAAGAAACGTGACCACGGGATGGCTCTTAAGCGGCGACTCACGAAGAATCACGTCCCCCGGGGCCGGGAACCACCTTCATCTTCGTTAGTGTGGAACTCGGACCGACAAACTAACTTTTCTGGCGCGAATTTGCCTAACTCGCAGCGCCACGTGAAACCTGACGACTGTGTGTACAAACTGGCCTGGTAAATACCAACTAGGGAGCGCATGGGCAGCTTATTCTAGGGAAACGATCCTGCCACCACGGACGACCGACTTCAACAGTTTCCATCCGAACCGCTGCAGCAAACCAACCCCTACACTTGTACCTCGGGGCATGTGAACAAGTCTCATCCCACCAGTCTTAATGTGTTCTGTACGCAGACACTCACCGAGCTCCAGTGAACGCCAAGCATGGGCATGGGAGGACAGGCAAAAACCCCTGTGCCACCTCTTCCCCTCGCGTGGGGCCCCATTCCATCCCGCCAGGATTTCATGCTCGGGTGGCAGTCAACCGGGGCATGGGGCCAACCTTGCACAGGCCATCTCTCGCAGCGAGCGTCAAGGGGGGGGGGAGGGGGGGGTTGCTACCCGGCACAGGACGAACCGAACAAAAGCACCGAAGATGACACCGGCTTCTTCTGTGACCACCACCTCTCGACTGTCCTTAGGAATATGGAGAGCACGCTGTATCTTAACCCTTCCAGTTTTGCCGTTGCTCCCATTATTTTAAAAACTATTTCCTTTGCTCTTTTTGTTCTAGTTAGCATTGACTTACTCTGCAGTTTGGGTTCAACTGACTCTGCCGTATGTGTTTAACTGAATCTGCAGTATGTGTTTAACTGACTCTGCAGTATGTGTTTAACTGACTCTGCAGTATGTGTTTAACGGACTCTGCAGTATGTGTTTAACGGACTCTGCAGTATATGCACTTTCAGACATGGACTCAAGGTCAAGATTTAAAGCTGGCAAGGGACGGATACAGTTCCTTAGCCCGATAAGGGAGGTAAGGCGACAGAAACTATGCATAACAAATTTATTTATATTGGGCTATCTCCCTTAATTTTAAACAAATGTCGAATGTAAGACCATTTGGAGCATAATCTTTAAAAAGCTGTTTTGTTAAGGAACAAAGTAGAATTCTTAAGTTTTTGTGTAATAAATTTACTAGATAATTACCGTAATATTTACAATACAATTAATTTAGTAGCTGTTATTGTACAGTAATTGTTCACATCTATCCATATCTTGTGAAAATTCATTTTTTTTTTTGGTTGTTATTTTCATTGTTTTAAAGCAACACCTATGTCGATTCGTTTAATGCCTTACCTTTTTTGCTTAGCAAATCTTGTAAAAATTAATTTTAAATAATGAAAATTAAATGCATTTTTTTAAAGGATTGTGCAGTCTTATTTTGAGAAGATTTACGGAAAGTCCGTAATAAAATCTAATTAAAACAAGATTTGTCCGTAAAAAAAAAAATCCTTTTAGAACGTCCGTTTAAAAAAAATGAAATAGGAAAAAAAAAAGGTAATTGAAGCGAATGAAAATTGGAAATGGATTTTTTCCTTTACATTTTCTTTGTACTACAATTGAGTGATCATTATCAGAAGTAGTTAAACAGTAAAGATAATAAGCAAACTAACGCAGTGAAATAGGTCCATGTCACATGATCATATCATATCAAACCAAAACGTTGTGACATAGCCGTTTTTACAGAGATGTCGGGGTGGGGGGGGGGGTGGGCTGGGTGGCATAATGACACAAATTTTTAGATTGTATTATGTTACCAAAAAAATAATGTTTTTCTTTTAAATTTTAGAGATTTTTTACAGAGATGTCGGGGTGGGGGGGGGGGTGGGCTGGGTGGCATAATGACACAAATTTTTAGATTGTATTATGTTCACAAAAAAATGATGTTTGTCTTTTAAATTTTAGAGATTTAGAATATGTGTCTATAATATTTAGGCTGAAAACCTGTCCCCCCACCCACCCCCACCACCCCCCACCCCCCCCCTTTTTTTTTCCCCGACTCTGAATTCAAATGCACACTCCTCGGTCATGAGCCTAAACAGAGTAATTTAGTCAGACCATAAAATAAAGTAGGCCGTTTTATGGCATAGGTGTAGGCCTATTTTAGCGGACACTACTCTTGTCTCCCCCTTATTTTGCTTTGATGATGATGTCCTCGAATAAATGTGCTGTGCCATGCCTTACCCACCCCTCCCTTGATTTGAGAAAAAAAAGGTTGTATACGTTCGAATGCGTTCTTTTTTGTTTAAAAAAAAATGCTACCATTCAATTGACGCAATTTTCTAGAATTTCTTTGCTTTCATATAATTTCTCTACTACGTGATGATGGTTCTGATTTAAGCCCTATATATATATATATATATATATATATATATATATATATATATATATATATATATATATCTTTCTTTCTTATAGTTTTTTATATATTTTTTCTATTATGTGTTTATTTTTCTTTTATATGCTATATATATATATATATATATATATATATATATATATATATATATATATATATATATAGGCCTGGCTGACGTAGAGATTTTTGCTAAATGTACTCACATTTACGATATGTTGTATCATTGCAAGATTATACTCATTGTACGTGTGTGTGTAAATTAATATTTGCATTTTCGAGGATTGTAACTTTCCACTTGCTGTGCAGTCAGTTGATTTTTTCCCCTCTTATGTTTGAATTTGTATTTTACAGACATTTATTAGTAAAATTAAAATGAATCTTATTGGTATCACTGGATTTGGTATCGTTTTCTTTGTACACTGGTTTTCAGGCTTCAGTTACGCCTTATTCATTCTACGAGCCAAATCTTGAAACAGATTAAATTTTCAAAGACATTATAACGGTACTTAAGATTCGATAATTATAGGCCGTCTTAAGATTTTTAAACTAATATTTTACATTGTTTTAATGCATTTTTTTTTAATAACGACTATATTTAAGGTGTCCGGCCTTGGTCCAGTACACGTCATACCCTACGGTACCAAACTGAAGAAAGTCCCAGGCGTCCATAGACCTCTGCTTGTACAATCACTTCCGGTGGAAACAAAAGAAAGGCCTAAGCGAATTACTTCCGGGTGAGCTGTTAATGACTCTTATGGGGAACTCTAAATGGTGGAACGGTTTGCCTCAATATTCGAGAGAAATTGAAAATGATAAAAAGTTATTTAAGAAACATTGAAAGACTTTTTTCTTTAAATAGATTTTAGGACATAAGAGCGCTGTGAGCATGCTTAACTAGCATGAACACAAGAGCTCTAGAAGTACTCAATCATCTTATCATAATTGTACAGATTATCAGGGTTCACAGACTCTCTTTTGATTATTTTTCGCAAAATTTCCGATTAGTCTTTATACCTACGTTATATCGTTGTCACTTACAAATTATTATTATTTATTTATTTATTCAACAGACCTGTAGATAAAATAGTGGCAGAATATCTCCAATATTCAAGATACATGAATTTCCCGTCGTCCCACCTGGACGGCCTTCTCTGCTCGTGCTGCGCCGACAGAAACCGGGAGAGCCTCGAGATACAGAAATCCTCTCAGAGCGGCCAGAACACATTCAGGAACTCATCACTCCCTAAAGACCTACCAGAACAACACACTACACAGCCTTCATTAACAACACATCCGTCTCCCCGGCAAGTGACGTCCTACCGACCATCACCACGTGACCCTTACTATCAGGGCTACTCTCTAAACGACCCTTATCTTTGGACATATCCCCATCCCGAAAGAAGCCGACCATTCATTCGTGAGTCCATCCTGAAACCGTTTTCCAGAAGGGCCTCCGCCCAGAGGGCCTACATCAGGGGCCGTGTCGCGGAGGCCAACTCCAAGTACAACGAGAGCATGCACAAACTTCAGGTTCATTTCGAGAAAAACTTTTCCGTCCCAGAGGGTGCCGTGTATTTGGGTATTGACAAAAGAAACTGGCTGGATGATGATTTGCTCTGATTGCCTCTGTATTTATTTATTGATCAGATTTGATACGGGATTTTTGTGTGTAAAACCTTACGATGCATTTGGTCTGTGAGCTGGCCATGCTGTGCTTTTCTTTCTGATTTACGGGTTTTTTGTCCTGCTATAGAATTGTGTTATGACTTAATTTGTCTAGAGAAATATAAGAAAAAGGACAGTTCATTTTAAACCATTTTAGGGAAACTGGTCTTTTAATTCACGCACCGTGAGCGCATGTTATTTTATGCGTTAGGTCATTCCCGAAGGCAGATTTTGTGTATGTTACAAAGATAATATAATGAAGTTACGCATACTCATCAACATATTCAATCCTTGATCGATTCAACAACATTTGGTGATCCCTTATGCTCAGTTCACACGATCAAAATTTCGTCCAATTTCCTTCTGAATGCAATTATTTTGTTTTACTATACAATGCGTTCAAAAAGAAATGAGACAAAAAATTGACAAACATTCGATCGTGTGAAATGAGCATAATTCTCCTCAAGAAGTTCAATAACTCTCTGATCCATTTGTATTTTCACTGTGGTGACATGAAAGTTCTACGTTTGTTATTGATATTGGTGACGCCAATCCATTCATCTCAAGCTGCAATGTGTTGACACACCAGCTGTAGTTGCTGAACATCAACAAGCCAATTTCATCTCAATCACGAGTGCTACCACAATGCACTTGGTACACACTGAAATTAAGTTTTGGGTGTATGCATCCTAAGAAGTACGAGAATGGTCCGACCAATTATCGGGGAGTTTTTTTATCGTGTGTGTGGTCATATCTTTGCGACTGCGGATTTTTTTCCAGATTTGACTTTTAAAAAAATAAAAAATTTAATAACCTTAAAATGACTGGCGTCAATGTCTCTATGAACTTGCCAAACAGTTTTGAATATGTTTTTAGTGCAAACGTTCCAGCTGTGGACATCACATATATTTTAAGTGCCAAAAATACTCACCAAAAGACTCACGGCTTGTGAAATTACGTCTTACCAATATCAACCGTTCTCTTAATTTGAATTCCTTCTTATTTGCAGTTTTTGGATTACTTTACATTTAAAACTGAACAAATAAAATATTTAAAAAATAATGTCACGTGACTCAACTTTTTAAATGATTCGGTAATTAACGTTTCCATTTATTTATTTTTGAAATTTAAAAGATTGTCGAAAGCTCCATCTCTTGTCTCTACACACCCACTTACATCAAGCAGATTGGTAGAGTTGATTCAAAGTTGTCCAAGAATCAAGAAGTCGCCTGTCGTGGAAGCATTTAAACTGCTAGTGGCCAGTGAGTCGTAAATTGTTGAGAGCCCCTAACAAAAAACAAACAAACAAAAAAAACTTCTCATTTTATATCAGTTTTGAACTCATCTCAATAATTTACACCTCTGAGAATCGGGGAGATCAAAATAAATGCATTTTTTTTTTAAATTAATCATCTTAAGTTATTTTGCTCCTTGTTCCATGGGAGTCACGTGACCATGTCACTAGCCCACTCGCGCCATTTATAAGATACATATGCTTAGCATCTTTCATTAACTTGTTGTAAATTTGTTTGCGTTTTGTCTGTATGAATTTAATTGTATTGGTTTGTTTGTGTTGGTCTGTTTGTATTGGTTTGGGTAATCGCATTCAACTGATTATGATGATTAACGCTCTAGTTCACAGAAAAACTAAGAGCTGAAGTCTGGATTACACATTTAAATAAGTCATTTCTTTTTAAATATTAAAAATTCTTTGGATCCTATTAGGCCTACTTATTCCAAAATGTATGTTATTTAAAGAAACCAGTTTGGGTCGCTCGCAAATTACGTCAAAGAAAATAATAACGTTATTAGACCCTCCCCCCTGTCAAAAAGTGTCACAAATTCTCGACCCCCCCCCCCCCCCCCGAGCGTTACGTAATTTGCGAACGACCCCTTTGGAAAAAAATCCAGATGGTGGCCCTAAAATAAAGGACGAAAATATGCCAAACAAATAATATCCCAAGAACCAAAACTAAGACCATCGGTGAACGCTCCTTCTACTTCCATGGGCCCACGTTCTGGAAACAGCTCCCCTTCCATATCCGTCAGTGTGAAACCTCGTCTACTTTTAAAAAGTCCCTTAAAACCCATCTGTTTAGGTCCGCCTATGACCTGTGATGCACCCTCCTTGCCCTGCCTCATTTTCTGTCTCGGGTTAATACTGTAATATAGGCCAAAACGTGTCAAAGTGTCCTCGTTTTATAGCCATTTTCATTGTTTCTATAGTATAATAGTTACTATCCTAATGTCTCATTTTTATTTTAGTTAGTTTACATGTTTTTAATAATTGTAAAGCGCTTATAGCTTTAAGGTAAGTGCTATATAAAAATGTCTAAATAAATAAATAAATAAATATCCTAAGGAAAGAAATACTCACCTACTTCTCTGGGTCCACATCTCGGTGCGATTTAAATGGAGTAAGAAGGGGGCGAGGGCGATCCGCCCCTGATGGCACCTTTCTTGATCTCTCTAGATACGGGTGGGCGACATTTTTGGACAAGTCGAAAGAAAAGAACGTGATTAAAAGACTCAAGGCATGATTTTATTGGACCATCAATTACTGAACATTTTATGACATACTTTTACTCTGAAAATGTTGCCTTAATTTTATACAGCAGTGATCCTCAAAGCGTGGTCCGCGGACGCCGACGCCCGGTCTGGACATCGTGAATATTAATGGTTGAATTTAAAAAAATAACGTATAATTTAAAAATATGGCACCGGTCGCTGAATCGGTTTGAAAACATGTCCACGGGTTCGCAACACTGACCATTTTGGGGGGATGATGCCACACGGTGTAATGTAGCCTGAATATTCTGACCCATTTAGATATAAATAGTGGGAGGAAGAAAACGAGCGAAGAAGAAAAAGAAAAACTAGGGTAATTGTCAATGAAAGGACATGAAAATACCTACTTCTTCAATGTAACCTAATACCTATACCTCTTTAATTTTTGCAATTTTTATTGTTGTTTTTTTTTTTTTTCTTTACAAAGAAAGAAGGCAAAATTTAAAGAATTTACAAACCGCTTCTTCAGCCACCCGGCTCTGATCCTGCTATAACTCAGCAGCACAACGCACTCGGCTCTGATCCTGCTATAACCCAGCACCACAACGCACTCGGCTCTGATCCTGCTATAACTCAGCACCACAACGCACTCGGCTCTGATCCTTGGGTTGCCGTCCAAGGTTAACCCGGGGTGCTGGTAATGTTATTGCTTGACCCGACTTTGGCTGGAATCGAGCTCCATACCACCAACTTGAGATTTGCTCAGTTTAGATCACTCGGCCACTCAGCACCGACAGTCCTTTTTTAATGTTGGTTATTTCCAGGTTTCACTTGCCAAAAAAAACACTATATGTGGGCTTTAGAGGGGGGGGTGGTGGTAAACTCACAGTACGCCCCGGGCGGCACAATGTCTCACTACGCCAATGGGTGCGATATTGAAATTTTGCTAACTAAACGCCTAGAAATACAACAAAAAAAAAAGGGGGGGGAAGGTAAACCTAATGTGTAGTATGGGTGGCACAATGTCTCACTACGCCAATGGGTGCGATATTGAAATTTTGCTAACTAAACGCCTAGAAATACAACAAAAAAAAAGGGGGGGGGAAGGTAAACCTAATGTGTAGTATGGGTATGGGGGAGGGGGGGGATCCTAGATACACTTTAATTTAAAAACAACATATCTTATATCTTTATGCAATCTTTATTTTTTAAAATATATTTTTACAATTTAGAATGTAAAACAAAGGTGTACATTCATAAAAGTAGCCTAATTAAAGAAAATTTGCTTGAGAACCTCTCAAAAATTTTGAAACCACTATGTTGGGTTTGAGCAATTGGGAAAGGAGCAAAAAAGTAGAGTTCGCACTAAGGACCTCTCCTGTGAACTGAAAATATCCAGTGAAAAAAATAATAATATTATAAAATGCAAGAAAATAAACGTATATAGCTCATAGAAAGTAAACTTGTTCTAGCTCAGTGGTTCTCAACCTTCCTAGTGCCGCGACCCTTTAAATACAGTTGCTAGTGTCGTGGCGACCCCCAGCCACACAATTATTTTCGTTGCTACTTCATAGCTGTAAGGATATGTGTTTTCAGATGGTCTTAGGCGACCCCTGGAAAAGGGTCCCGCGACCCCCAAAAGGGTCGCGACCCACAGGTTGAGAACCGCTGCTCTAGCTCCAGATTATCACAACTTCTTTTTTTTTTTAATTCTTTTTTTTAAAAATGGACAACGTTCAGATAAGTATTATTTACTTTCACATTTTATTACCAAAGATATTTTAAAAAATGTAATTTAATCTCCAACTTTCCATTTTAAACATTTCGTTGAATAGGCTACAGCAGTGGTTCTCAACCTTTCTAGTGCCGCGACCCTTTAATACAGTTTAATCATGTTGTGGCGACCCCTTGCCACACAATTATTTTCGTTGCTACTTCATAGCTGTAAGGATATGTGTTTTCAGATGGTCTTAGGCGACCCCTGGGAAATGGTCTCGCGATCCCCAAAGGGGTCGCGACCCACAAGTTGAGAACCGCTGGGCTACAGGATATTATAAATAAAAACATGAATTAAAGCAAGCAGTTTATTTACGGTACAGAACATCCGCGTACATGGTACATCGAAGAATCACAGTTTGATAAACTTATACCAAAATATTCACAGCATCCACGTCCCCGAGATTGCAATATCCATTAAGTTATCCATAAATGTTCATCCCTTTCTCCACAATAGATGTACAAAAATAAAGCTATACGATATCCAAAGCAGCGGGCGTTTAAGATTGGAAAATCAGGCTCAGATCACTTCGATAACAACACGACAACGAACACGATTGTCTCCAGCTTGATGAATTGTTTGGTTAAACCCATTATCTGTGTGGACTTAACCCGCAGCGCATCTCAAATTGGGGTCAAACAACTCCTTGTGAATTTTCCGAATTTCTTCCGGGGTGTTTTTATGTCCGCTGATTTTGTCCCGGAACTTGCAGCCGTCGGCTTCGTACTTGGCCCAGTTGAAGTCCGAGTCGGCGACCCGTGGCACGGCGGCCTGGTCGGCGACCAATCCGGTCAGATAGACGTCCTCGAGGAATAGAAAACTGACGTAGAGAGACTCGAGGTAGAGTCTCATTGCGGCGGTACTCGTCATGGCGTACGCGGTTCCGGAGAGATAATTGGGGAAGAGCTTGTCCGGGTACTCGTCCCTGGTGACGGCCCACTTGTTCTTCTTGTCGCGGAACGGGGCCGTGTTCTGGTGGATGGCCCCCAGCAGGAACAGCGGGCCGCGGGATAACTGCTGGCGTAACCGGACCAGGAGGCGGGGCATGTTGACGTACATATCATCGTCCGCTTTCAGCGTGAAGGTGGACTCCGGACAGTACACGCTGACCCACTTGACCAGCGCGACGCTCTTCAAGCTCAGGTTCCTGTAGGTGTCCTCGAAATCTTCCTGCACGATGTCCCCGCACTTTAGCGCCTCGGCGTCGATCTGCTCCTGGCCGGCCTTGTCGCTCTGCACCCCCAGAAAGAACAGAACCACCGCGTTGTTTGACGGATCATTAGCGTACTGGGCCCAGGATTCACGGATGGCCTGACGAGCTTCAAAGCTGCTCGTTCGCGTTGGGACCCCGACGATGAGCTCCACTTTCCGACCAACACAAGCGTTGGGCACGTTGTGGATGTATCTATAGCTGTGCGGGTTCACTAACTTCCGACCGCGCTGGGACATTTTCGAATGAAACATATCCAAGATGGCCACCAAGCTCGGATTGGCATCTCCTTCTGGGAACCCAGCTTGTTGCCATAGTAAGCGATCACTGGGAATTTCCGGTGTAGGGGATGAACTCGCTTTGGGTTGGAATATGATATCTTGAACGTTTTTCCAAGAATAAGTATTGGTGTCGGTTGAATTTTTCGATGTGGTCTGTTTCACGATGAATCGTACGTCCCTTGTTGTTTTTGTCTTGGGACTCGTGGACATGGACATCAGGAAGAACAGGAAACATCCCGAGAAAACGATGGAAATCAGGGTCCATCGGCCGAAGAATATCTTGAAGATCTCCAGGTTGAATGACCTTAACCAAACATGACAAAATATAACTCTCAGTCACATTGATCTTAACATTGTTTAAATTCTATTTTTAGTTCAGTCTTTACATAAGTAAGTGTTGAACATTAAATGTAAGCAAAACCTGTTTCCCAACGAATGGATACAGTAATCTAACTTTAAATAGGCAAATTGTGTTTGTTGGATGGTTGTTGTCGTTTTTGTAAGTTACATTCTATTATAAAATATTGTGCACATATTTTTTTTTAAACTGCCATTCTACTACGACATATAATAAATTATTACATTAGATTCTGAAAGCGTATGCATTTTAATGGTTATTTTATTATTTTTTAACGGATGTTAAGGGGGGGGGGAATGTGTAAAATGGCTTATTAGGAAAAACTCAGAGAATTAAGTTAGGGACATACTGGGTGACAGGGTGTTCACAGATTTAGAACCCCAAATGTAAAAGCCCTTAAAAACAAAGATTTCGTATAAATCCTTTATATGCATTTTTTTTTAAATTTCATTTTATATTAATTTTCTAATGTATCACCGGCTTTTACACTGCAGATTTATTTCACCAACTATTTCAGAAAAACAAGAAAATATTACGCACCAAACGCAATTGCGATATTTATTTTATTTTTTTAAGAATCTCATTTAGCGCAGTTATCGGGAATTTTATTTCGTGAAATCAGTGTTTTATTTCAGTGTCATCGTAGTTTTTAATCTACCCCTTGAAGAACAGGGGGGAACAAATGGGGTGGTGGGGAGGGGGGGGTAGTGTGGGGCTGAAAATTTGGGATGATGTGCTGTCGTCGGCAACGAGTCTATGTGCCAAGTTTCAGTTCTATAGGGTGACGGGAAGTGGGTCAGTTAGCAGTCCGAAGATTTTTGCCACCCAGCCAAAAACACACGAACAAAAGCGAAGGTAATATAAAGGATTCAACCACAATACCGTCGGAATGATGGCACGGGGTGGCCACTACTCTTTAGACATTATTTTATTGCTCTCGTTTAGTTTAATTTTATCAGTTGATATAACGCACACACAAATATTTTTTTAATTAAAATGATATATTGAAAGTTGTTAAACTATTCGATCTAAGGAAAGACTTGGGTCTAACCGTTTTAAAAGTTATTTATTTATTTACATATTGTTATTAAATCTCATCTTGCTGTCAGTCCGATGGCTAACCTCTGACCTGGCGACCTTTACGTTTTTGATAACGTTAATTCGTTACCTTATGTCATTCATTCAAGTCAGAAAAATTCCATCGGAAATAACGTTAAAATCACTGTCGGAACGGCAACGCGTCACGCATCCATATTTAATATGGCGGGCACTTACCTCCTGAAAAGCATCTCCTGCTGTCTCCGAGTGCTGTGCTCCTTTTAACGGCGAACACCAGGCGAAACATCTTCGTCCTTGTTATGGATCAAATAATTATGTGAATTATCAACATACCATGTCGTCTGACATTTCCAGACTTACCGTAAACCTTCTGATTAAATGATCACATAAAGAAAGCCATTGAAGCCATTAAAAATGAAAATGAAAAGCTTCATGTTTCTATCTCTTTTATTTCATGTAAAAAGATGTAAGATGTCTTGAAATGTTTTTTTTTCCCATAGATTTTTCAGGTTTTAGTCTCTACCCCCATACGAATTATTTGAATAGTCTCACACCCCCTACGAATTATTTGACTGGTCTCACACACGGTACGAGTTATTTGACTAGTCTCACACCCTCTACGAATTATTTGACTAGTCTCACACACGCTACGAGTTATTTGACTAGTCTCACACACAGTACGAATTATTTGACTAGTTTCACACATACGGTGCGAGTTATTTGACTAGTTTCACACATACGGTAGGAGTTATTTGACTAGTCTCACACACGGTACGATTTATTTGACAAGACTCACACACGGTACGAGTTATTTGACTAGTCTCACACACGGTTCAAGTTATTTGACTAGTTTCACACACGCTACGAGTTATTTGACTAGTCTCAGACATACGGTGCGAGTTATTTGACTAGTTTCACACATACGGTACGAGTTATTTGACTAGTTTCACACATACGGTACGAGTTATTTAACAAGTCTCACACACGGTACGAGTTATTTGACTAGTCTCACACACGCTGCGAATTATTTGACTAGTTTCACACACGGTACGAGTTATTTGACTAGTCTCACACATAGTACGAGTTATTTAACTAGTTTCACACACGGTACGAGTTATTTGACTAAATGACACATCTCCTACCAAAGTATCAATGCATGGAATTTATTGACTTGTTGAACTTAGCAAATAAACCTGTGACTTAATGCATGACGGAAATGTTGTTGTTGAAATTATTAAAAATGTTTAAAAATGTTTAAAAAATTTATAAAAATGTATATTATATTGTAAAATGCAAAGTCTAACCTTTTCTTATGTTCCATTTTCCTCGTACCCGTTGACATGTCTCCTCACACCCATTGGAATGCCTTCTCGCACCCCATGGGGGTTCGGGCACCCCAGGTTGGGAAACCTGTTCTAAGAGTTGCGAGTGAAAAATAAAGATTTTTTTTTTTTTGAACCTTAGTTTGCAGCGAAATTTTCTTAGAATTCTTTTCTTTCATGTAGTTAAGTCTAAGACAGCGGTTCTCAACCTGTGGATCGCGACTCCTTTGGGGTTCGAACGACCCGTACATAGGGGTCGCATAAGACCATCGGAAAACACATATTTATAAAGTAGCGACGAAAATAATTTTATGGTTGGGGGTCACTACAACATGGGGAACTGTATTAAAGGGTCGCGGCATTAGGAAGCTTAAGAACCACTGGTCCAAGCGGTGCGCTAAATAACCGGATGACTCGGGTTTCTATAACCAGGGGACTGTCCGATTTGAGGTGACTAACTATAATCAGATGATCGGTGGTCAAGTGACCTCAAATAAAGCGGACTAGACCTTCTACCATTGCTTGTAACACAGGCTTTGATTGTGCACAGCATGAAATCAGACGAAATATCTGTAGAGCCTAGCTGGCGAAAAAAAAGGCGTGTTACTGGCTTCTCGCGGGCGAAGCAGACGTTAGTTATCTACCCATGTCAACTCAACAAACGGCTGTGCGCATTAGTTATTGGTACGGTAAAAGACAACGATGCGAGCATGACTGGATGTGAAATCGATTTCGTTGAAATTGTAGGAGGTAATCGACTATATTATAGGGTTGAGCCGCCCTGGCTTCAAGAGTTGGTTCTCTAAAAAACTGTATTTGAACGATATCTTTTAAATAAAGGTTGAAAAATGTTTCTTTTGAAATGCTGCAGAGTTGCGTTGTGGGGGTCTAGATGGGAGGCTCGGCACTCCTCCGGGAGCCTAGACTCAGTTAATTGCTAGTCAATAGGACGAAACAATTTCAAGACGCATCCACTATTATTTTAATTTCGCCGCTACGACGCGTTCCAAGCGAGACAACGGTACTGCGGGGAAAGACTTGTGGTGGATCACTTTCAGCGGCGTGAGGTTATACAGATCCAAGTGATCCAAATTGCTCGACGGTGCCACTGGTGCTTGGGTGGGTTGAGCGCATGTGTGTGCCTACACAGAGAGAAATCTATAAAACACCAGGGTGACGCGCGAATATCACCATCTTCGAAGTCAACATTTGTTCAATTTTTGTATAATAACAATTTTATCTCCCTTCTATTAAAATTCTTTATTTATTTTGGTGTTTTCTATCGGCTTTTCAAAAAAAAAAAAAAAATTAATTTAAAATAATAACATTAGATCTATTTCTTTATGTTTTTTTAAAAAAAACTCAAATTTTTGTTCGATACAAACTCATATAAAAAAATAGAAATACATACATTTTTGTTCAATTTTTTTATAATAACAATTTTATCTCCCTTCTATTAAAATTCTTTATTTATTTTGGTTTTTTCTATCGGCTTTTCAAAAAAAAAAAAAAAAATTAATTTAAAATAATAACATTAGATCTATTTCTGTATGTTTTTTTAAAAACAACTCAAATTTTTGCTCGATACAAACTCATCTGAAAAAATAGGAATACATACATGGGACATCAGTTGTGCCATCAAAATAGTTTATTATGCAATATAAGAAATAGTAAGTATTAGCTGTTGCGATTAAAAGAACGCATCAGTGGCGGTACCTTGACTAAATGGCTCCCGGGGTGAATGTCAAAAGTGTGTCCCCCCCCCCTCCTCAACACGCACATCATTTCTATAATGTTACATTTCAACCCCAACGGTACCGCAAATCCGCCCCCCCCTCCTCCCGTCCATTCACCTATTTTAAGGTCCGCCATTGAAAGGGGAGCTTGTTAGATGGTTTTGGGGTCGCAGTCATACTGTCATGCTCTTCCGTAGTTTCCATGACACCCTGTGCGTTGTTCAAAATAAAAAAAAGGACGAGGCACCCATTGACGTTGTCCGTCGCGAGACTCGGCTCACTGATGGCGGGCGTCAAGGGAAATAATGCCGACGACGGACACAAGGGAAATAACGCGTGTACGGTTAGTAACGCGGGCAGGCATCCAACATTGAGAATTTAAATTTAGGCCGGAGAAAAAATGAGTTACAAAAACAAAATTCCCACAATCGCTGAAATGCTAAATCTTTAGTTCAACCCAAAAAGGGGTGAATTATAGAATAAAAATAATAATAGTAGCAGAAACCCTTTTAAGATTTCCATAGTCCTATAAAGTTCATTTGTTTCTTTGCTCTTTTTTTTTTAAATTTTTAAACAGGTTACCTTTATTATTATTCTTCTTCTTAGTATTTATTGAATGTTTCGAATACTACTGAAAAGTATTGAAAACGTTGACGTCATCTATGTGACGTCATCTATGTGACGTCATCGATGACATGGTCATATTGATGAATTTAACACATAAATGTTAATTTTTTTTCAAATGGGTGAATTTGAAAGGCAACACTAACATGACTTGAACTCTTAAATGAACCCTGTCCCGTTTAACCTATTTCGAGTGCGCTTTTATTTAGGCAAGCTTGATTGCTACACACATGATTACTACATACATGATTGCTACAAATATGATTAGCACACACGTGATTACTACACACATGATTACTACACACATGAGTGCTGCTCACGTGATTACTACACACGTGATTGCTACACACATGATTACTACATACATGATTACTAAAAATATGATTAGTACACACGTGATTACTACACACATGATTACTACACACATAACTCCAACACATACAATTACTATACACATGATTACTACACACATGAATCTAACACATAAAATTTCTATACACATGATTACTATACACATGATTATTGCACACGTGATTACTACACACATGATTATTACAAATATGATTAGTGCACCAATGATTACTACACACATGTTTACTACACATATGATTACATCACATATGGTTGCTAGTTGCTACACACATGATTACTACTGTCTATGCTTGTGTTTACTTTCAAAACCTATCTAAGATTTGTGCTAAAATTTTACAAGCCTGTCAATCCTCTGAGCAGTTCTTCGGAGGTTGGGGGCCCTGGAAGGGGGGTCCGGGGGTGGGGCTTCCTCGAGCTGGGGAGAAAACACCACCCACCACAGCGGCACCTCCATTCTGCCTTCATCAATGTTTCCTCTTTCCCATTCCCACGGCCAAGCCCCCGATTTCCTGTCTGCCACCCCCAAAGCTCCCCCCCCCCTTTGCTGTTTCCCTTCCCCTGCCTCCGGATTAAACTCAGAATGATAAATTTCAGGATGAGGACGGTAACGTGGGTGACACAGACGGCTGCAGTGCCAGTTTTTTAAAAAAGCACCGGGGGATCGAGGGCGCCTCATGGGGGCCCCGTCACGTTCGGGCCCCTACGCGGATGCGTAGTCAGCGTATGCCTAAGAACGGGCCTGCTATCCTTTTGTCAAAATGTCACAACCTGTCAATATTTGTGTCTGCTTGTTATAACATGTCTATGCCAGCATCCACTTGCAACATCCACAACATGGCTTTGCCTGTGTCAACATGTTACAAACAGTAGACAGTTTGTAGCATGGTGACAGTTTCTACGACAAAATAAGCGTTACTGCAGGTCTCATCAACTGCATGCAGTCAATGTTTTCATTTTAAAAACGGTTATTGCAATGCTGAACATGACATTAAACGATTAGGACCAGCTGTGTTGTTGTGGCATTGGCAAAATCGTTTATTAAGGACTTGGAAAACGAAATAGGTCTTATGTGTATTTTGGTTCGTTTACACGCGACACATAGAAAAAATATAACAAAATAATTGGGTTTGACATGCGTAAAGTCTGCGAGAGATAGATGTAATTAGGAGAAACACTGTAAGCAATGTATCACTCATCGG